CATGTAGTCTATCCCAATAACTGTAAAATTTAAACATCTTAAGTATGAAAAAGCAATGCACTTTTCTTGATATAAGTCATGCCCTCACAAGAAAATTAAAATTAAAAATATATATAAATGGGCATACTATTATGTTGATTTGTAATTTAGGAGATGCCCCTCACTGAAAGTTAGAGTGTGGGATAACTGAGGAAAATACAAACAACTAAATCCAATTTATAAACAGTAATGTGTATTAGAACTTACCTATTTGTTTCTCTCACCAGGCTGTGATCCAGGCATAAATCCTTATTTACTCTTTACTCCCGGGGCATAACAGTCCAGGGCAAACACACAATAGAAATTCAGTAAATGTTTGTTGAATGAGAAGAATGATACACTTACAAGTTGCTAAGATTAACATCTATTTGCTTTAAAATGTCATTTATAAATATGTACTTTAATCAATAATGTAATATTATGAGAGGGCTCATAAAAATAACTTTTCTAAAGTCCTGGAGTAGTAGGATCTTATATCAAACTAGAGACCCAGTGCATGAATTTGTGCACGGGTGGGTTCTGGCTGGCCAGCCCCAATTGGGTGGGGGGTCTGATTTAGGGGGGTGAGGCTGGCTGGAGGAGGGGCTGTGAGTGGTTGGCCAGCCGCCCCTGCCCCCTGGTAGAATTCCCATTCAAACTCCTGGTCGAAGGAATAATTTACATATTATCCTTTTATTAGATAGAATTACCCTCAAACCAGTTCTAAATATTAAAAACCACAAGTTTCTTTATAGTACAACTCCCTGGTAATTATTTGATTAGTCAATTTTTCTAAACAATCTGGATGACTGTTAGCCTGTTCTGAGAGAACCTAGTGACATTATTGTTACATAATTTTTTTAAAAAAATCTTATTTTACTGGCAAACAAGTAACTAGCATAAGCAGTTGTGCTGCCATAGTTGCTTTCCAAATTAATTATGACCAGGGTCGATGGGGGCATGCAGTGTGTAACACATCACTTGTGTGTTAATGAATCCAAGGGAATGCAATGCCACTATTAGTAATAGCTTTTTATTCGGAGTCCTCAATTTCCAGATAGGTCACATAAACACAGCCATTAAACAATAGCATTGAGATAAATCCATAAAATGTATGCTGCTTTTGATGTTGTCTTTGTTCACCAATCACTTGGTGCAGCTAAGAACCTTATGGTGTGATGGAGTTGATATATGGGAATAGCCAACCTTCAAAACACTGGGGCCAGGAAAGTCAGGTCTCATTCAATTAAGTTTCAAAACAACACATCTTGATAGCCAAAACTCTCATTTGAATTAATGCTCTAATAAATGCTGTCTGTTGTCAAAATAATATAATATAATTAGACAATAATGATTGGGCATATATTATGCCAGACCTCAGTTTCCCAGTTGACCTCAGCAACTTCTACTCCATTAGTCATCAGTTTTTAATCTGGTTCTAATAAAGCATACTGTTCTCTTAATACATGACTATATTTTTATGGTGTCATTTTTTTAAATCAAGAAGTGCCTAGGTCTTTTACAGGGAAGTCATATTTTACAAGATCTCTGCTAATTCAGGAAAATAAAGCAAGTCAATTTCCAAACCAGGAATTCAATTAATTTATAGAGCAGTGAGACAATCTTTGTATATCTCCTGCAATTGGATGTCAGGTTCAGAAAAAAATATGAAAGCATTGTTTGAAATTGTGAGAAATGTCTCTTTTATGTTAACTTTGGTATAGAATAACTAACATTTACTACTTTTAACTTTGATGAAAAGATCTTTCATCATTAGCATGTTGTGGAAAGATTTTGTTACTGACGTTTTTTAGTTCACCAGTAAACAATTTTTAAAACTTTGACTTTCTATGAAAATTTATATAAACTATTATTCTGTGCTTGACATCAGTTATTTAAGAACCTAAAAGAAAAAGTATCATCAAAGTATTCATTTTGAATGTGTGAAGTTTTTTTGAGGGTTAGTTAATGGAGATGTGAATTAATTTTTTACATTCTCAATGATGCTGAAACCCCTTGAAACATCTCTGTTTGATTGTGTATCACCTCTTAGAGCAAGCTGCTCCCCAAAGGGGTGATTTTGGCATCTCATAGACTTCCTTGGAAGTCAAGCACCAGAGGTCTGTGATAAAGGAAGTTGCCAGCCAAATGAATAAAAGCAAGATTTCCTCACTCAATTATAAAAGCTTAGAGTCCTGACTGCTGAATTACCACCAACTTGAAAATAAATAACCACTACTAAATGCAGATAACATGTTAAACAGCTAACACTAGTAAATCACTGGTGACAGAGAGCCGAAAGGGAAAACCCTCACACATTGGCACACCAATTCTTAAAACCTTATAGCATTGTAATGTCTTCAGACACATATACTAAACTGAACAACTGGTTACTGAAAGTTAAGAATGTTTTAAAAAATAAACCCTCCTCTCTTTTTTATGTCATTTACATACTGCCTTAGTTTTTACTAAGCGGCTATCTGTCTAGTAAGAGAGAGGCAACACTTGGTAAGACTAAATGGAAATCTATCAAATGTCTGCTATCGAGCTAAATCAACCTGTGGTCTCCCGGCAAAAAAGTAAGATCATATAACAGAGACAACACGTTTCAGATACATAAATTGTCCAAAATATAGACAGTCAATTCAGTTTCACATGTACAAGATCCCTTCTTTTCTAATTTAAACATTTACAAATGATAAAAACCAATAGTAAAGCTTTGGAAGGGCTGTTACTAGGAACGTAATACAGTTCTCCAGAGAATAAGGCTGAGGGCAGGTGTTCACTTTTCCTTTCAAAGCAATTTGCAAAGGAGGTACAGTCTAAAATCTTGACAGCATTTGAGGGAAATGTTTTCAGTTGAATTTGTAGAGACAAAACTTAATTCAGTTCAGTGTTTGTTTTTACTCTTGTTTTTGTTAATCTAGGAATTTTATGACATTTATGCTGTTTCTACATTGGCTTGGTGGCCAGAAAAGAAGGCACAGAATTCTCCACCAGTTTGCAAATAATGCATTTTCCGGCTCCAGTGCACAAACAGCCTTTATGTAACTCAGCAGCACGTCGTCTAAGGTATGGGCTGGAAGCTGTTTGTCATGAAGCTGTAAAATGCCAAAAATTTTTAACACGGAAGGAAAATGTCAATCAAGGCATTTTCCCATCTGCCGCTACTTCTGCGAGTGCTAATTTTATTTTTTCCCAATTCCTGAAATTTGAGGTTTCCTAGCCTCACATGGAAGTCAGTTTGAAACTTGCTAAATGACACAAGAAAAAAGGTGCAAACAAATGAAGGAATAGAAGGTGTATTTTTTCTCAAAGGACACCAATAAAAAGAGGCAGAAGAACATTGAGAAAAATGGAAAACATTCTGTGAAGACCCAGACCTCTTGAAAAACACTACACAATGCAAATAGCCAGGGCTGGTATCACACATGCATCAAAGCATTTTTCATGGTTTTGAAATAAATGGGAGCACACATCTTGAACCACATAAGATACTTTTAAAAACCAATCAACAGCATGATATCTACAGAGGCAGAAAGTGTGAGTTATTGAGAAAACATGAAGAAATTTCAGGTATTGGTACAAATGCAATTCTTGTGATTTAGCATGACTTTAATAGAAGCTTCTACAAGGACTTGCACATAACCATGACTGACAGATGTATTTTTTGACCTTTCAGATAGCTCCGTCGGCTCACGCAAACACATTTTGAACAGATTATGTACTGCAGTACTTGGTAGACTATACATTAAACAAGAGACTTTGCTCTGAGGCACTGCTTCCCACGCTCCATGGGGAAAAGGAAGCAGGAAAAAACAAAACTCATAGAGTTCGACAGCTACTGAGGCAACACTTGCCATTTACAATATAAGCCCAAATATTTTTGCAACACAACTATATATTAATTTAATAAAATACACAATATAGCTCTTATACACTCAACAATTTGGCTCATATGCACTGAATCTGCAATAAATCAATAAAAATATGTCATTTGATGTAAACACATTGAATCTTCTTACATTTGCACATAAAAATGATCATGTGATTTGTGTAAGTCTAAGACATTTTCCCTTTCCTGAGCTATTTTAGTGTCCACAAATCAGTAAAACATATTAATCATGTTAATTTTTTCTCTACCCATCATTATTTGTATGTTTGTTGAACACTAAAATGCTAAAGAGAAATTTTAAAACTTCAAATTTTCTCCTCCTTTAATGAAGTGAATTAGTCTGTGTGTGTGTGTGTGTGTGTGTGTGTGCAGGACAAAATGGACTATATCTTTTACATTTAACTTTTATACGACATGAGGTGTCTTACAAATGACCAAGTATTTTTTTTAAAAAATTGTTTTTTCAACTAATGATATGGAATGTTCCTTGTGTTTCTATGTGTGGCAGGTAACTTTATACAGAAATGCTTACCACAAATATGTATTAATGTTTGGTGTAGCTTGGACTACTGCAAGGTCTTTGCGGGACTTTCAGTAGAAGCCTGTGCTGACTGCTAAAGAGCCACCACAGATCACACGTTAGGACCCTGCTTTGTACGGGATTTGTAGGTAAACAGTGAAGTCAGCGTCAATCACGGAGGACAGTCTTAACAGTGGTCGGAAATACTTCCCTTCTCACACGGCATACCTTTCCTGACTGATTGTCAAAAGGTATTTGCTTCCGCATCTTCCTCTTTCTTCTCTGTTTGTCTTTCCACTCTGAGCATCCTCAATGCTGTCCCAATATAAGTTTGGTCAAAACAAAAACCATTGTTATCTCGGGAGGGGGGGTGGGGGGTGGGGGATAGCAGTGAAAAGGACATACTTGTGGGCACTTCAGATGTTCACGGAAAGCCTTGAAGCAGCATTGGTCTCTCTTCTTCCCTATACACCAGGTTGTCCCCAGGAGGGATCATTTTTTAAATCAACAGAAGAGATAAGAAAATGCCAATGCTTTTTTTTTTTTTTTTTTTTTCTCCTCCCCCTCTCACTTTCTCACAGCAACAGGGTCATTTCCCCGACAGTCCTGCAGCAGCTTATCAATCTCTCTCACGACTTCCTCCGCATCCACCGACTCCCGGCCCAGATCCCGGGCGGGGTGGTCCAGCTGCTCCAGGACGGCCCCCATCTCGCTGGAGTCGCGGCTGGCCCTGGAGTGCACATCCGCGAAGACCCTCGCCATCTGCTCGGAAGCCAGGAAAGGAGGAGGGTCTCTGGGCTGCTTACTCGGTGACAGGTACTGGCTGTCGGTGGGCAGATACTGGCTGCTGGCCTCGGCCAGGGCTCCCGGTTTTGCTTCGCAGCCATCCTGGGAGCCTTTGGTGGAGGTGCAGGGCTCCACGCACGCCTTGGTGGGGCTGCTGGATGCTGAGGGTACCTCCTGGAGGAGAGGGCTCAGGGCACGTTTGGCTTTTAGGTAAGGTTTCACATTGGCAATGAGAATAGTGTGCTCTCGCTTGTCTTTTCCGAATGTACAAAAGGTCTTTTTCCCGGTGGGATTCACAGTTTCGTAAGTCTCAGTCTCAACATTAGCCTCCACTGTGGGCACGAAGAGATTTGTGCGGTAATCTGCGTTCTCAGCCTGATTGGCTGCAGGGAACTGTGGCATCCAACACCTGTCAGAATGACCAAGCACTCGGCATTCGTCTGTGCAGTTAATGCACTCTTCGGGTTCTGCAAGACAAAAGGGAAAAAGCAAGCCCAGTCATTAGAGTTGCCTTTGCATTTCTACCAAGAACTCGCTCAGCTCTCAGTGGGCCTGCTGGACCTCTGGTCTCTTAATTAAAAAGGAAAAGAAAACAATAATTAATACATTTCAGGACGGTTGCATAAACCTGCCTGGTTGAGACAATGGTTTTATTTAAGTCTCGTCTCTAGATATTAATGAATTCCCATAGCCTGGGAAGCAGAAAAAGTGGCCATTGGAGAATCACTCTCGGTGGAATAGAACATCACTGTAAACTACTTTGGGAGAGCAGTTAGTCTTTGTTCTGTGTAACCCATCCTGGAAACAGTGAGCTTCAAAAAGGATTACTCGGATTAATTTTTCAAATCAAATAACAGGGTAAAAGCTGGATTGCAGACTTCTGTAACAAGTCCTAAGCTTATTTTGCAAATGTTTTATCCCTATTTTCCTTGTAATTGTTATTTTGGTGACAGTCATAAAATAAAGGGTTTCCTTTAAAAGCCTATTTTCCTGCCGAGAGTAGCAAATGGAAATTTCTATCAAAATGTGTTATGAAGTAGCTTGTCAAAAAGTACACATTTCTATTTTATTAGTTATGGGTATGGATCATGTAATCAGTTTTCTTCACTTTAGTTTTTTGTTTTTGCTGTAAGTAGGTGAAAATGGATTTAGTCAACAGATATAATTCACAGTGAATGACGAATCATGATTTCCTATTTTAAATGATAGTGCTTTCTGTGAGAATTTTTGCTTCTCTTTTACCAATAGAAATACAGATAACTTAAATAAGCTTTTTTAATGATCCTATTTTAAAGATGATGAATAAGAAAACGTGAAAGAATATGTCTTCATTATGACAACAGCTGCATACTTCCATGAGCCCAATATTTTAAACTATAACTTTGAACTTTGTCTTCTTAGTTGTCTCTTTCATCTAAAACAGCTATTCCCCTTAATGTTTAATGATCCTTTAAATCAAAAACTTTTTTTAAGGAAAGGGTATTTACAATTTACCACTGTGTGATGGAAATAGAATTCCCTATTTAAGAACCTTAGGGATTGACATTAAATTGACAAGAGAGGATCTTGACAAATTTATAGTATCATGTGTAAGGAGAAAAATGTTCACATGAAAGATACTTAAAATAGCAAGAAGCAAATTTAATAGCATTGATAAGTTTATACAGTTGCTTTTCAAAGCCATAAATAAAATCTGAGTTCATATTTAAAACAGATAAATAATTCCCTCTCTGAAAAAAGAAAAATATATATACAATACAACTCAATTTATCTCAGAAGGTTTTAAGATGAAATAATTTTCTATGACATTAATATTTTTAAAGTTATCTAAATACTGTTATGACAGAACAAAACACTGTGGCATTACATAGCATGTATCATTAACACGGGACACATTTAAAACATATTTAGGTATGTCATGTTTTGCCATGTTTTTTAAAATATATTTACCAGTGCATAAATTAAATATGTTAGGTTTATTATGTAATGCAGGTAAGTATGTTGAAATGCAGTTTCCAACTGAACTTTCACCAAAAGACTGGAATATCATCTGATGTGAAATTGTTGGACAGATGAATACAAAGAGAAGCAGGAGGATACAGAAACATAAAATTTTCTAAAATGCCTTCTTATATAGATTTAAAGTAGAGTAGAAATTTTATAGAAAAGAATATCCTGAAAAGTTTAATATCTGGTATCTATTTTCTTTACTTATTCTGAATGGGAATCATAAAAAATACTTCCACGTATGTGCAAGTAAGTGTTAGAAAAAAAGGATATTATTTCATTCAACCAATTTTGTCCTCCAAAAATACAGTAGAACACTTTACTACCTATTTCACTTGGTGATACTTTTGAGTCAAAATTTTTTAAAAATTCATTTGCAATCCATACACTCTCTTTGAAACATAATAACATAGTTTTATATTCCAATTGTAACCGGCCTTCAATTTCAGCTATTTGGATAGCCTCACACTGAATAAATTCAATATGAATTTAAAAACAGAGTGAAAGTGATAGAATAATGCAGATATATGAAAGTGAAAATCGACCTTGATTTTCAACATAAAATGATTGTTTGCACTTCACTGCTGAAAATCTGCAGCTTTTTACTTGACTCATTCATGTCACATCCTAGGGAGCAAATTTTGAGTATTGATTGTGATACATTATAAGCTGTTCACCTTGTGATTAGACTGCAATTTTGATGACAGCAGTTCACAGATAGTGAAGAAAATAGAATGGACACTTTTGCACTAGCAGCAGAAACTATGAGCATAAAGTAAACAATAGCTACAGGGGTCAAATAAGAATTTATGAAAGTAAAATTATTTTTGAAGTCACATCAATAAAAAGATAAATAGGTAGGTACTGAAAAGAGACATATAATGTATGATTAGCTAGACCAAAAAGAAGGAAAAATAAGTAAGAAAAGAGAAGAGAAGCTAAGTGAAGGGAGAGAGGCAGAGGAGGGAAACAGAGAGGGAAGAAGAGAAGGAAACATTTTAAAGAAAGGGAGTTGTTTTAGGAGGACTTCTGCCTTGTGTATCTTTTGTCATATATTTGCAAAAAACCCGCCATAGCCTAAGTGTGCATAATGAAGAATAATACTGTTGAGTGTTTTCTCAAGCCCTAGAACTGTAAATGAAGGTAAACTTCTGCATCTTAGAGAAAATGGATCCCAGAATAGATATCTATATTGAATTAGAAGCTATAGAATTTTTTTAAAAGCAAAATATAAAGACTGTCCCTACTTGCATAAATTAGTGTAACCAAAATCAAATATTTGTATTAGAAAACAAATTTAGAGACACTGGGCAGAAGAAATCAAAGCAAAAATATTTGATCCAAGATTTACTTTTGTCTTCTGGAGCAATCTGGGATTATAAGGAAATTGTTTACTTTTATTTTAATGTTGTACTCAATATAACTTGATTTTCTTTCAACAGAATGCACCATCTACCAGAAAAATGGACTAATTCAAATGGTATACAGATGAGAAAAATTGAGAAATAAGCATGTTTATATTGCAAAGACAAAGCAATTCTGAAAACCAACAGCCAAAAATCTGGACAGTTTTGCCTATAGGGAAAATTTCCAATGTCAACTTTAAAATGTATGATTTTTAAAAATGTATGATTGCCTGAAGAATCATGTGACAATCAGATAAACTGGAATACTTGTTTAGTATTAAGAATCATTTTCTGTAGTCATATAGCCTCATGTATCTACTGCACAAGCACCCATAGGGAGGAATCTAAATACGGTCATCCTAATTAGTTTAATTTTGCATCTTAATTTGTAAGATATTTTTTTCAAATGATATAAAGCCAATCAAATGACTACAGTATTGCAGTTTATTTTGTGCCAAATCTCTCTCTCTCTCTCTCTCTCTCTCTCTCTCTCTCTCTGTCACGCTCACACACACACACACACACACACACACACACACACACACACAGATCTTTGTTTGTATGTGTGTGTGTGTGATAAAATTGAGCTTTTCCCAGGTTACATAGTACAGGTAAAATTTAAAAACTCAAATACATAACTAATCCATTCCTGAAAATTAACTATCAGTAATTGCCATGAGCAATGTACAGGTGATCATTACAACATACAAGAATGTTCTATATTTATAATATGAGTGATAACATAAATATAGGGTGTCCCAAAAATGTATATACACTTTAACAGCTGATAGTTCAATTTTGAAAATGAAATACATGTTAATAAGCACTTTCTTTATAACTATTCAAAGTGTGTGTATACATTTTTTGGATATTCTTTCTATATAAACTATAAATATTTATATATAAAGCATCACAAATTCTACCGGGGTCCAGACTGCAACTCTAACCCTGAGTAGGATCCAAACCAATGACCTCTGGATCCACACCAGGTGGGCTGAAAGCATTCTTTTTTAATGCTGATTAAGCAGTGTAACAACTTAACCTTAGAGATAGTAGTTAAGCAATCATTTTGTGCCAAATATATCTTCAAAAGAACTGTCATTGAGGAAATTACTAGTATATATGTAAGGAAAAAACTTTAGGCAAATCATCAAATTATCTGATCTTAAGTCATTGGTTTTTAGCAATCTCCCATAAAGGACACCATGTTTAATGCTTACAGTGTGATTTTAACATTGTAAAAATCACCATATTATTAGGAATGCATGGCCATTTCAACAATGGTCCATGCATTCCTAATAATATGCAAGTTATTATTCCTAATAATATGCATGACTCTTTGCAAAGGAGACATGTCCAGAAAAAAGTCCATGAAATTTCTTACTTCAAAGTAAATCAATGTCTTTATTCTAACCGTCTCATTCTCAGGGGAGAATTTATCACAAATCAGAAGTTAAGTTTATTTTCCCAGTCTTGGAAACACTAAACCACACCACCCAAAGAGAGAAGCCTGGCAACTAATTTGTTTCCACTTAGGGAAATATTAGAAAACATAAAAGGATTTCCTCTCCTTAGTTTCAAACTTGCTTTCTGCCTCAGGAGCCCACACATTTGTAAATCTGAAAATATGCATATAGTTCCTATCATTAGAACTTCAGATATGCATCTGTTTTAATTTTTATAATGAGGAAATAATTGGGGCTTAGAAAGGTGAAAACGAAAACCTGTAAGTCAGGGCATGAATGAGCAAGTTCTGAAGCGCTGTGGCCAGTGGGGGAAGGACATCTGAGAGTTTTCTCTGCTTAATAGCTGTTCACAAAATGGCTTTATTTCTGCTTTAAATAGGAATTATGCTCTTCTATTACTGTTGTTGTGGTTGTTAATGTTTCTAACAGCATCTTAAAATTAGCATTGTTTCCAAGTAGTCAACTCTATAAATGGAAGTCTGTTTTTTATTTGTTCTCATTTTTCTTTTTTATTTCAAACTTACCTTTTTTTCACTAACATAAGCTTTCATAACACCTAATTAGCTATCTAGAAAAGCAGGGAACAGA